TACCCTATAAGAATATACAACATTATTTTACGATGTTCTATTTATTCCTACCCTATAAGAATATACAACATTATTTTACGATGTTCTATCTATTCCTACCCTATAAGAATATACAACATTATTTTACGATGTTCTATTTATTCCTACTCTATAAGAATATACAACATTATTTTACGATGTTCTATTTATCCCAACCCTATAAGAAGATACAACATTATTTTACGATGTTCTATTTATTCCTACTCTGTAAGAATATACAACATTATTTTACGATGTTCTATTTATTCCGATTATTTATAGCTATGACAACAAAAATAAGGAAACTTTGGTCATCGGTTACGAGAAGGTTACTCATGGTTTTGACAATGAAGCCTTAACACGTTCGCTGCCACCAGTGATGTTAATAATTCCAACCCTAGTGCCAACCACACTTTTCTTCTCTTTTTACTTAATCCAGATGTCTAATATTTATATGGGTAACTAAACAATGTTTAATTAACTCATTAAAGCCACTCTTAATGTGTGACCTACCAGTGTGTCACGCGGTTCATAACTAAAAAGTCGGTTGTAACCCACTGGTGGGGGCACATGGCAGCCAACGTGTTAATCATTAGTTACCAGATTAATAATGGTTTCGACAACGTAGATAAAGAAACCTTTGTATTTGGTTAACAAGTGACTCATAATGTTGTCTTAAAGTTAAAGCTAGCTCTGCTACAACACATAGTGCAAGGATGAAAGCAGATGTAAACCAGGATCAGATTTATAAAATTCACAAGTAACAACAAGGTAAACTATTGGGACAATAAAACTAAATATTATTATTTTAAAATCACACCAGCTATAAGAATAGTGCAAGTCCGACGTTCGACCAACAGCGGTCATTCTCAGTTGGGTCCGACAAGTTATGCCAATTATTTCGATACCTATCTTTAACTAGCGCCATCTGTTGGCTTGTTTATAGATTGTAATAAAGGTTTGTACATTTAAGAGAAAAAAAAACACATTGGCTACAGATTTAGTATTTAACACGACTACACAACGAATGTTAGTAATATTTAGTTTTTCTCAAAAAAATACTCATAAACTTAGCGCCATTGTTACAGTATCCCTATTTTGTTGAGATGTTTAAAATTTATTAATTAATCTTACGCGGTTATGTAGGCTTAACGAATACGTCTTCAGTAAGAAGAAAATAAAGTAAAAATAAACTTACCGAAAACATTTGTATTAGCTTCCTGATAGATGAGTAGGGAGAAGTTTATATTTGGTATTGTTTGAATTACATTGCTTACATTTATAAAAGAAAAAAGTTTAAATTTAGGATCATATTTATTAAAAGAGACAAGGTAACCGTTTTTTTTTCTTCTTTGTTATTTTAAGATGGCTGGCTTTAATTGACTTTGTTTCACTTTCGACAGGTCGCCAGTTCGACAAAGACGGTAACTTGAAGCAGTGGTGGAACAATGGAACGATTGAAAGATTCCGAGAACGTGCGCAGTGTATTATTGATTATTATTCGAGTTACGTTTTAGAAGATGTAGGACTAAACGTAAGTGTGAATTAATTACAACCGACGTGGGACTTTTGATCAGAATGATTAAGCAGTCTTGCACAACATGTTCGTTTTATTATTTTGCTAAAATTTAAGTTTAGGGTTAAGTCCACTTCGCCTATGTACGTTTTTATACTGTTGCTGTAGTACTTTACAAAGTAAGCGGAATAGAACCAGTAAGGTAAGCTTTATTATTATTTAAAGAAAAGCACTTATATGTCATGTTTCTCTTATTCACGCTTTTAGGCCATTATTCTGGTTTAAGCCTAAAGCCCTTCAGTGGCTCAACGACAACTCTGCAGGCTTACGATGCCAAAAATCGGGTTTCGATACCCGTGTTGGACAGACCACAGATAGCCTATTATATAGTTTTGTGCTAAAGAAAAACCAAACCAAACTAAACCATTCAGTATAATATTGACTACAACTTATTAGCCATACCTACTATCCAAAGAAACCTTCGGTAGTCACTTCTGAATCAAGACATACTGGAGCTTTATTGGCTTATTTCTAATTTTAGTAAAGAGTTCTAATGTTTTATTAAAACCCTATATGTATTTGCCCCACTAAACTGTACGTATGTAAAGGCTTAACACGATTTCCAAGCTAAATCAGAATATAAAAAAAATGTCGCTCAAAGGGTGAAACTGACTCTGATAAAAACTATGTCAATATCTATAGTTACTTTGAAGCAACAACTTTCCCTGTAGTATGTCTATAGCCTTGAACCATGATGTTTACATACAGTTTACTTCTGGTTAAACACAAAACACTTCTCACTGGCCCAGCCATAATTTTGAAGGCTTATGGCGCTAAAAACCGGGTTTCGATACTTTTGATGGGCAATCTGGAAAAATCTAAATAACAATGGAATTTCTTTCCATTCGACGTTTCACTCATTTCGTTAAAGAAATTAATAATCCAACAATGATTCGTATTTAGTATTACACATTCATTCATCACTAAGCTTTAGCTTGTACTTCGATGGTTTATTTACGAAATTGAGTGAATGGATAAAAAGACGGGTTCATCAGAAACACCACAACATAAGAACTGAAATTTTACTTACAGCTTATTCAATGGAAGACTCAGAAAGTTTTTACTTTTAAATTAATATGTATACAATTAAAGTTTCTTTTCCAGGTGAATGGAAAAATGACTCAAGGCGAAAATATCGCTGATAACGGCGGACTCAAGCAATCCTATAGGGTAAAGAAATAAATCGTAAAATAATGTTGTATATTCTTATAGGGTAGAATCGGTTTCACTTTTTTTTTTAAATAATTTTTCTAATCAGTGAATAATTATTAGTTTGTCCGTTAAACCTTTTAGCCACATTAGACGTTTTTGCTTATAATAAATGTGTTCACTTTAGGTCGCTCAACTATGGGGGTATTGGTGTGGTCATTGGTCACGAGATTACCCATGGATTTGACGACAAAGGTAAGAAAACGTCAGTCATTGGCCACAATTGAAGTTAACACGTTGCTGATATTTGTGTAATAACTTGAAGTTAACACGTTGCTGATATTTGTGTAATAACTTGAAGTTAACACATTGCTGATATTTGTGTAACAACTTGAAATGCACACATTGCTGATATTCGAGTAATAACTTGAAATCCACACATTGCTGATATTCGAGTAATAACTTGAAATCCACACATTGCTGATATTTGTGTAATAACTTGAAATCCACACATTGCTGATATTTGTGTAATAACTTGAAAGCCGACAATGATATATTATTAGACAGTAGTTAAAAACATACCAGTTTCTTAAACGCTATACACTATAATGGCTTTTATCGCTGGAAGTGCTTTTTTTAATGGAACATGGGGTAAGATTGCATGACATCGTTAAGTGCTATCCGAAAATACTACAGTTAATTATCATGATTTTCTGGTCACAAACTTTTCTTTACAACTTACTTTCTGATTCGTCAGGCATGCTTATAGTTTGTCCATATCAGATGTTGAGATAAGTTAACTATATAAAACTTTCTATTTAAAATTTTGGAAATTTGTATTTTTCGTCCCTTCTAGGTGGATGACGGAACCAGCGCTTGTAAACGCTTTCTACAACCCGAACAAAAACGATATTGTCTTTCCAGCTGGAATTCTTCAGCCATTGTTTTATAGTCATTACTTCCCAAAGTATGTACTTCGTATTTGTAATGATATTAAATACAGTCTGTGTTGTAGCAAGTATTGCACTAAATATAAAGTCCAAGTTAAACTAGTGATAGTGGCAAAACTAGTAGTAGTGATAGTTTAAACTGCAAATAAAAACGACTTGATCTTCAGAAAAACAAAGGAAAAAAAAACGATTTTACTAACTTTTCGACTCACACTTTCTTTAGGTTTAGGTAAAGCGTTTTGAATAAAGCGTGAGTCGAAATGTTGGTAAAATAGCCAGTTATTTTGGAGTTCTAGTTATCATTAGCTATCAAATATACTAGTGATAACGAGCTTCGAAGTTATCTTTCAAAAGAAATGAACATTGGAGAAATCCTGTCATTTACAACTGACACCTGCTTATGACATATATTTTAAATCAAATAACCTATATATGACACGTGCCCCAACCCAAATTGCTTGTTTAGGACAAGTATTTCAACCCACATAACCTATTTATGATGTATAGTTCAACCTAAATAGCCTGTTCACGACATGTAGTTCAACCCAAGTATCCTATTCACGACATGTAGTTTAACCCAAATATCATGTTTATGACGTGTAGTTTAACCCAAATATCATGTTTATGACGTGTAGTTCAACCCAAATAACCTGTTTATCACGTGTAGTTCAACCCAAATAACCTGTTTATCACGTGTAATACCACCCAAATAGCAATATCCACAAAGAGAAAGGATCACTTGGGTTTCTTCTCCTAAGTTGTACTCGTAGTTAATTAACCTATCGGTATATATTGAATTACTTCAAGTGCTCAAGATAATTGTAATATAAAACCATCTTTTTTGGTTAAGTGAGTCGTGCCATTTTCAAAGTTAATAATTTGGTTTGTGGGTCGTTTTGGTCTTGATCGTCAGTATTACTAATAAAACAGTCAACTAGACCTTTGAAGAATAAATTCGCGAGTCAAAAATTCAAAACACTTGAATGTTTATGTCTCCCCTCCCCACAGTGGTTCAAGAGTCAGCCGGAGGACGTATACGCTAAACATATAGGTTCGACACACGTCGTGGTAGGCACAGTGCAGATAGCCCATAGAAGCACGTCAATATCATTTGCATAAAAATATCTACCCAGCTGCCGTTAGGGGGCTGAAAGTGTTATGTTACATATTACTGTAAAAAACGTAATTAAACTTTGACTGGACGTCCACAAAATACGAACCTTTATGATTCGGACAATGCTGAATTATTTAGTTAACAAAAATATTTTATCACCTACAACATTTTCCAAACTAAATATTGTTAATTATTTAATTACTCAGTAATGATCTAGTTGTATACGATTTACCTATATATTTATCAGATACCTGATTGATTTTTTATTAGCGAATTTTCTAGAAACCATACAAGTGCTGTTGTTTCCATTTTAATTTGTAAACAATGATAAATAAGTAGTTATAAACAATGTTACTGTCACCAGGTGTTCTATGCTCTTGGTCTATCCTACGCAACGTAAAGATTTCCCATATTCATGCTCATTTTTTATGGTAAGGTATAACAATATATAATGAGATGTGTCCTTTATCGAAAAACAAGTTACCTAAACCCTCGAATCAAGATTTTTCAACTTGTCCGTACGGTTTTCAAAATCTGCTGACAGATGCATTAACTGAACTATAATGTAAAATTTAATGCTGATCTCATTGGGAAACATTGATTATAAAATGGCTTAATTAAATTTTGAATGTAATTAAGTAAAATCTCGTGACATGCGCAGAAAAGGGTGCCCGTAAGAAAGGAATTAATTAAATACGTTGTACAAAATTAACCGAAAACTCTAGTGATACCGAAAAGTGCTTGTATTGACTGCTCTTGGTAAAGAACGACTATCGTTCGATAGCCAACGTTTTTGTACTTTATCATTTTGCAGTGACTCGCAAAGCTTACCTAATGTAGCTGAAGACTTCGTCCTGAAATCATGTTTCAACGTTGCTTAAATATTGCATTAACTCAGAATACACATGTTGCGTGAAGAAGTCAACATATTTCAAGTAAACCTGCCTGTCGATTTGAACATAATAACGCGTTACGTGAACAAACTGGCCAATTAGAACATATGTCAAGTAAACATGCAGGTCGATTAGAACATAATAACACGTTACATGAACATGTTTTCCAATGAGAACCTAATAAACATGTTGCGTAACATCGCTAACGTGTAAAACACACTCTACTGTGTGAAAGTATTAAGTATTAAGTGTACAAACCTTCGTGTACACATTCATAACACCTGTCAAGAGCATGCAAATATTAATCTACATATTGCTAACGCTTGTATAACAAACTGAAAAGTATAGCAATATTCATCTAACTTTGCTATCATTCGTGTATTAACTTGAAATCCACACATTGCTGATATTTGTGTAATAACTTGAAATCCACATATTGCTGATATTCGAGTAATAACTTGAAATCCACATATTGCTGATATTCGAGTAATAACTTGAAATCCACACATTGCTGATATTCGAGTAATAACTTGAAATCCACACATTGCTGATATTTGTGTAACAACTTGAAATCCACACATTGCTGATATTTGTGTAACAACTTGAAATCCACACATTGCTGATATTTGTGTAATAACCTATCGAAGTTTTGGAAGCAACACATCAGGGCAGATTATTTTACATCTACTTACTTGTAATTGTTTACAAGCTATCGAAGTTTTGGAAGCAACACATCAGGGCAGATTACTTACATCTACTCACTTGTCATTGTTTACAGGCTATCGAAGTTTGGAAGCAACACATCAGGGTAATTACTTACATCTACTCACTTGTAATTGTTTACAGGCTATCGAAGTTTGGAAGCAACACATCAGGGTAATTACTTA